AGTAGTAGTAGTAGTAGTAGTAGTAGTAGTAGTAGTAGTAGTAGTAGTAGTAGTAGTAGTAGTAGTAGTAGTAGTAGTAGTAGTAGTAGTAGTAGTAATACTATTGCTGTTGCTCTTTTATTATTTAGTTGGGTTTTTTTATTCTTATAATAATTTATGATAACGGCATAGAGTTTTGATACCATTCCCTGCAGGAGTCTGATTCTCTGACAAAGAATGGGACAATCCTGATAGGCGTGGGCGTTGACACGAGTGACAGGGCGGGGCTGGTAGGCGTGGCTTCTGGCAGTCATTACACTCTACAGACTGACAGCTTCGACAACCTTATGAAACTGGACCAGGGAGCCACTCAGCTTACTTGTGATGGTAAGATTACATGAACTAAAGTAAAACCATTTTTTCCTAATTTTATTAATAGACAAAATACATCAATTATTGACCAGATGAGCACAAATTTTAAAAAAAGGAAATTAACAACCAAGTAGTAAATTCTCCAAGATTTCAATCACAAGTCTAATCCAAATCACAATCATTTCGGTTTAATGTGGGTACAAAATACTATTATAATGTATAGGTATTTTCATAATTCTGCAGTAAAATTTGATCCACCCCCCCCCTTCCTCTCTCCCCCCTCCCCACCCCCCATTTTCTAAGAAAAAACATGTCGTAGGTATTTTGTTTATATCCGTACCAACCATTTTAATTGTGTAATATAGTCGAGTGTGATATTGTTGCTTTATATTGTTTTGTTATTGTATCCAACAGCTATAAAGGGCGTCCCACCAGAGGGTAAGTAACAAGTTGTATGTTTGTCTATAGCTTTTATTTTACTATATGTCTGGTCTTCATGGTCATTTGCCTATCTTTTGATAACTGTGTTTATTTAAGAATCAGATTTATTTGTATCGACTGTATTGTTTTATTGTCAGATTACAATACAACAGATTTGTATATTTTGAATCTTGCACATCTACTCACATGTAAATGCAGTGAGACAAATTCACTTACTTGAAAAGAAGGGTAATTTTTTTCTATCGTGAACGTACATATAATATGCATAACGTCAAATGGATATAAACACAAATGTTTACGTTTGACCATATCTAGAGGAGTTTTATTTGTTCAGGAGAAAAATGTTTGAGTAAAACATAAGAGGGAGAGACACATATAGTATTGCCGAATTTGCTTATGACTTAGCTCTACACATTTTTTTCTCTCTCCCAGTTTGTGGTGAGAAGAAAACGGACGTTGTATTTCTGTTGGACGCCAGTTCAGACCAGGGGAAACCAAACTTTAAACTGCAAGTGGAGTATATTAAAAACCTGACCAGCTCACTCAACCTTGGGCCCGATGGGGCCAGAGTAAGTCTGACATATTAAGGAAGACGGGGAAAAAATCCAAAACAAAAACAACCCCCC